GATCTTTTTTTTTAAATCGAAGACCGATTTTATTTATACAGTTTTACAGGTTTATTTATTTGTTGGAATAAGAAAAAACACTTTAGTTTTGCTGGAATATTTGTTTTCAGTGCATCCCTAGTAAAAGGCTATCTAGCAATGAATTGAAAAATTAAGTGTAAGTGCTCGCTGCCGCATGCGCCGATGTTTGTTTATCACTTTGATATCAGGTGTCAGATTTTTGTCGGGGCTTCCCATATTTTTATATTTTAGATAACGTAGAATATTCTTTGATTTTACCTTAATTCTTTCTTGTACTTTTATTTTATTTTTGGGACATCCCTACTCCATACCTTAAACATTTAGAAAATTGATTTATCTATCTTTATACAACCACCAAAACGTTGACCCATAATAGTAATACATCAGTCCAGTAGAGGACACTAAGTCAAAAAATTTCCAAATAAAAATTTGTGATTTGTAATTCCTTCCTGTTCCTTCAGTGTTTTCGAAATCGTCGTTGGGGTTGCGTCGGTTTTGAAGAAATGTCGAAGAAAACCCCGTAATGTCTGTCTACCATCAACCGCCGGATATAAGTTATTAAAGCAAGTTTTTTTAACATTTTTTATTGAATTTATGAGTTTAGTGTTTGATTATTATCATGTGAAAAATTTTAAATAATATTTTAAAAGTGATAGGCATGTGATAGGTTTGTGATGTTCAGTTTAATAGATATTTGGTGTGTATGTGTTTGCGTATATGTGTGCTGGATAAAAAACACTTTCATTAAAAGGGTAAGCTCTAACTAAACATTATAGGTTATAATTGTTTATTGAAACGATTGAAAATATTTCCTAATATGGCGAAAAAAGAAGCTATGATAATTGTTAAGATTTATTTTTTCAGTTTACTCCACTGTAAAAAGTATTTAAAATATTGCGCATTTCTCTAGAATTAGTAGAGCAATCTACACTAATATGAATAAAATAAATTTTCGTATTTTTTTCTGTAGCAACTTAAAATAATTGAATTTATAGATAAACATGCAGAATGTGGGTATGGTGGGAGGTGGCAACGTTGCATTCTCTCCGACACTCTCTATGCCCGGTAAACGAATTTCCCGGAGAGTGAACAGTGGCACTCAAAAGTTTTTCAACATTTTCCGGAAAATGTCAAGAAAAATATAAAATTTTCAACATTTTTTTTTCGCAAAAAAACCTCATAGGCGTGTTTGTGGGGTTGAACTATACTACCAGTTAAAATATCTGCACTTATTTCTGGGACACCCTGTATAGAAAAATGGAATTTTTATTTGGTCGTCATATTTTTTCTTTGTATTGTGCTATAGGCTTGGTGCATTTCAGTCAACTTTTAAAATTTGGACAGCAGCGCTCGGTACGGCAGAAATCAGAACTCGTCGGCTCTGTATTTTACGCAGTCCCGATTACCGTTCCTGTTGATCGCATTGAAATCGTGGCTTTGTCATATATGTACTTAAGTATTTTAGTTTTTACTAGTGCAGTTATATAAACTATAAAATTCTCGGTACGAAGTTTGTGTAATGTAACGTTGTTAATAAAAAACAAACTGTGCGACGCGTTATGTTGTGACAATTTCAAATGATAATAAAACTGCCGAAAAAATGTCAACACGAGAAGGAGAACATACAGGGTATTTCCCATCTTCCTCTGACAACAGATGGTTAGTGTTTGACTTCCATGGTTAGTGTTTGGCCTTGTCTCCGTCTGAGGTGCCCGTGAGGTGAAGGCTGGAGGATCTCCATTTTTTCCACCTTTTAACTTGGTCTCTCCCTAGACCTGATACCGGTGTTGTCCCGAATCTATAATAGTGGATATATGTCTCTTTCTTTATCGCCTTCTTGGATTTGAGGTCAATTCCTATTGTGAGGACTTGACCATGACCCTCCTCCCTCGAGTTGATGACTCGTCAATTCTGGCAAAGCTGGTGGTACGTCCCTGTTTGCCTCCTGGCGTTGGACGGCTTTTCAGTTTGCCTTTTTCTCTCTTTGCCGGAGCAGAGGCCATATGTTCTCTTTCTCTTGCCGTTTGGTGGAGACGCGCCGTGCTGTTTCTGGGTTCCTTTACCCTTTATTCTCCTCTTTTTGGAGGAGTGTTTTCGCTTTTGCTTCCTCTGGAGCACATCCTTCATGGACCAGTTGGAGGTATCTCCGTACTGTTGCTCCGCTGACATCTACCCCCAGCGGGTCCTCTAGCCCGCTTGGTAGAGGAAATGGTAGATTCTCTCCAAAAAAAATCCTATATTGGATTTTCGCCACTGCAAGAAAATCTACAAAATAAAATAGTTATTTTATGTGTTTGAGTCAAACAAAAAGATGCTTAACGTCGTCGGAAGCAAAAAAATACAAAGAATAAAGAAAAAAAAACTATTTAAAATATTTAAATTCGACTATTCGAGAACATTTTAGTTTTTTAAAATAGATACGTCTACAAAAACCGTTGGCGTTCTGTTAAAATGCAGTGGCGAAATACCCATATAGGATTTTTTTGGAGAGATGAATCCGCCACATAGGTATAGACATTTTTTACAAATGGTAGCTTGTGTGCCACTTGTGGAGGCTGGTCTCTCGCAAGTGTCAGCTGCCGCTCCTGTAGTTCCCTTTGGGGTTGGTCCCTTGGAGCTTGCACTGGTAATGTTCTCACTGTTGTTAGGAGGTTTCCCTCCAGCGTCACCACAAGGGTTATTCGGCCACGTCTACAGAGCCGCGCATGTAGAAGAGAGACGAGAATACAATGGAGTGCCCCTTGGTGGCCCAAGGTTGAGTCTAGTACAGGCTGGCCCTCTATCTAGCTACGCATCCTCTTAACCTGGTCCCTCCATTGTAGGATTTAGGTTTTTGGTGTGGTTGTCTCCTCTTGGTCCGGGCGGAAGTCTTGTGGCCATTCCCTAGTTACGGCACTACTGCGAGGGACAAGAAAGTGAGATGCTTCTTAAACCCAGCCAAAGTGCCCGACAAGGTCTCGCATCTCATAGAGGAAGAAGTACCAAAAAAAATAGGAATATACAATGAGGATAAAATATAATTTAATCAATATTAATAGTATACACCTTTTAGATCAACTTGTGCTTAAATTTCTTATGGACGTTAGCGCTAGTTATGTCCCCTAGATAGCCCCTAGTTATGTCGCAACTAGCAAAACTGGTACATAACACTACGATCGCTACCATAAAAGCAGCCGGCTTGTTAAAACTAAACTAAAAAGTTTTATTAGTTTGAGTAATAAATTAGAATACACGTTAGACCTTCTGAAGGTATTACAAGATTTACATTTTTAATTTCTTTAGAATTTTTACAAATCGCACTTATAGTAAAAAACCTTTTTTTAAAATGTATTAATATCTTTTAGTTATTATTAATTACTAGCGTGTGTACCTGCGACTTCGTTCGCGTCGAATTAATCATTTGTAATGGTGATGATAAAGCAAAGCAAGAATTTCCATTAACATACAAACTGGATAAAATTTTCTCACATTTATGTCCTGAGCCTGAGAAAAAAACAATATAGCGATATTATTATATAACTTGGTAATATTTGACGGGTAGTTTCATCTCGTTGGAATTTGACTTTCGAAACATCTGTTTGCCAAAAATAATTTTTTTACGTCAAGCAGTTTAAGCAGAATCGTAGTTAATCAATTACCCAACTTTTTTGAACACTCTGTATGATTTTTTAAAAAAATTCAAAATATGTAAAAAAACAAAATAAATTATACGTGTCCAAGCGTTTTCCCGAAAGACCAATCGTTTTTTAAATAACAAATATTGTAATATTTGAGGGGCATTTTCACCCTCTTGGAATCCCCTCCTTATCGAATCCCCTCCTTATCAAATCTCTACACCCCACAGTCAATCCGTTTGCCAAAAATCAGCTTTAAACGTCAAGCAGTTTAAGCAGAATCGTGATTACTCAATGGTCATATTTTATGAAACACCCTGTATAAATTTTTAAAAAATCTTAAAATATGTAAAAAAACGAAATAAAATATACGTGTTTAAGCGTTTTTTCGGAAACTTGGCCGTTTTTTAAATAAAAAATATTGTAATATTTGAGGGATGGTTTCACCCCCTTGGAACTGGAATTTCGAAAAATCTCTTCCTATCGAACCTCTACACCCTAGAATCAACCTGTATGCCAAAATTGAGCTTCTTACGAGTGGTTAAGAATTTTATATAGGTATATTAGTAGGTATAGATTGTGAATGTATCAAAAATTGAAAAAAAATAATGAAATTATAATCATCTCTATTTGATTCCGAACTACAAAATTCCCTCTATATTTTCTACACAAAGGAGGCGTGGCTTCTTAGTAAACGAATGGAGGTTACTTTGCTGGTCCGCTGTAAAATTCGCCTATATGACAAATCTAACGGAAAAATTTGCCTGGCGCATTCGCCAAAATGTAATTTTCACATTTGCATTGTTTGTCGCATCTGTTTAGGTTAGTCTGTGACGTGGCTTAATATAAATAAAAGAACAACTGAATACTTTACTTGCCTATGAAAATATAATTCGGGGACTTTTATCTTAGAACTTTCACACACTAAACACTTTCTAGTCATTTTTACGAGTATTTAGAAAGTCCAACGAAAAAAAATAGAAATATAGTTGCACAAACTTAAAATTAACTTCTCACTGAACACACTTGCATCCTTGGCTATATAAAAGCGGTCGATAAAAGAATAATTAATATAATTTTAAAAATAAAAAACGCAAAAAACAAGCGACATTACTCGATGGAAATAAGATTATGACAATATGATGACAATGAAAAGTTGGTTTCCATAACAATGTATAATTTGTACTTTCTAAATTGTGATTATTTTGGAAATACGTGCAACTTTTAATGCGCATGCGCAAAGTAAGGTCCTCGAGAAAGACAAACCTATTGAACGTTTCATAAGTGCAATAAAGAAGGTTTGAAAATGGAATGTCGTGATGTTGGAGACATATTTTTTAATGCTAAACTTTATATATGATCTAGAGTTGCAACAGACTTATTCTATTATTCAGTCATTCCTCTCAACATGCATTGTAAATATATATTTTATTTTATTTATGAGTGAATAAATTTCATTATTATTGTATTGCTCACTTAATTAACGCCAGCAAAAATTCTATAGGATAACGATTTCTTGGAAAAAGGACATAGACCACCTTTACCTAGTTATAGAGCATGTTTCAAGAGTATCTTTAGAATACATACTGAAACGGCAAATATATGGACCCATTTATTAGGATGTGTTGCATTTATAGGTTTGTATAACATGCTACCGTTTTAATTGAAAATATCTATGCATACATTGAAATTTTTAGGCATTGCAATTTATTTCTTGATGCGTCCTCATTTAGAAATCGAAATCGAAGAGAAAGTTGTGTTTGGGGCATTTTTTGCTGGCGCTATTATTTGTCTCGGATTTTCCTTTATGTTTCACACTGTAAGTTGTCATTCTCAGTTTGTGGGAAAGTTGTTCTCCAAGCTGGATTATTGTGGAATAGCTCTACTTATTATGGGGAGTTTTGTTCCGTGGCTATACTATGGATTTTACTGCCATTTTAAACCCAAGGTATTTTAAAATTTGTCGCAATGTTCTCTAATTTATTAATGTCACATATGAAATTTTATAGGTTATTTATCTATCAGTGGTTTGTGCTTTGGGAATTACCAGCATAATGGTGTCATTGTGGGATAAATTTTCTGAATCAGGATGGAGACCCTTTAGAGCGGCTGTTTTTATGACATTTGGACTTAGCGGAATTATTCCTGCAATTCATTTTGGCGTTGTTGAAGGGTGGTTTACTAAAGTTAGTCAACAGTCACTTGGATGGTTAATATTAATGGGGGTATGTATTTTTTATGTTATAATTTGTCTAGCAACAAGATACGTTAATACACTCACCGGCTAAAAAAAACGGCCACTAAAAACTAGTCTCAATTTCAGAGTTGGATTTCTCGCGAACCACTCATTAGATTTCGGTGATTTTTTTTTAAATTGTTAATTAATTCCTTCTTAACGGATGCTACGTCAGAAATTTTTATTCCAAATTTATTTTGAGCATATACAGGGCGCAACAATAAGACGAAGCTTTTTGCTCGAACTTTGTGACACTCTGTAGGGTGCAGTAGCTGTAGTAGCTATTGCAAATATCAATGCATATCACATTGTAGCCTCATCTTTTGTGAGCATTTTTTTTTAATCACGACATTATCTCTGTTTGTATTGGAGATACGCTGCTTTAAAACGAACGTCTCGGAAAAATGCTTTGTAGGCAAAACCGCGGCCAAACCAATTCACATGTAAACTCGCAAACTGAAGACGTGCTCGACGATGTCTTGGAAGTAGCTGGGGTCCTGTGGCAGGCCTCCTTGCAGACAAGCTGTTTTCTTTTAGTCTTCGTTGGATTGTTCTCTCACTGACCTGAGTTCTACGCACGGCTTGTAGCAGATGTTGATTCTGAAACGCTGTAATTCTACGATTTCTTAAAGTATTCAGGACAATAAAGTGGTCGTCAATTGCGTTTGTCTTACGTTTTCTTCCAGAACCCACTCGCCTGGTGAAATTTCCCGTTTCCATATACCGATTCCAGGCATCCTGGACTGTTGTTCGAGGTATGCCCTGGGTATCGGACACATAACGTTGACTTCGGCCATCCTCAATTATTAAAGCCACAATACAAGCAACATCCGTCACAGATAATGGCATTTTTTAATTTGACAACCGTTGTTGTCATATTGCAAATACTCATAAATCCGTTTTCGCCTATTTCGCCTTGAACATAAAACTTTCTGCCTGCGAAGCATTTTTCCGAGACGTTTGTTTTAAAGCAGCGTATCTCCAATACAAAGAGAGATATTGTCGTGATTAAAAAAATAAAATGCTCACAAAAAATGAGGCTACAATGTGATTTGATTTAGCACTCTGCAGGGTGTTACAAAGTTCGGGCTAAAAACTTCGTCTTATTGTTGAGCCCTGTATATGCTAAAAATAAATTCGGGATAAAAATTTTTGACGTAGCATTCGTTAAGAAGGGATTAATTTACAATTTTAAAAAAAATCATCAAAATCTAATGAGTGGTTCGCGAGAAATCCAACTTTGAAATTGGGACTAGTTTTTAGTGGCCGTTTTTTTTGCCGATGAGTTTATGATTTCGACTGACTACAAAAGCTGGCTGAAGATTTTTTAAGCAGAGACAATAAATTTATTTTTCAATTAAAATGACAGCCCATTTTCACTAGTCATTTATTCTTTTATCTGTCTTATTTTTTCTGGACACTCTATACGTATATTGTGTTATAAAAGAAGAAAGTAGCTTCACCTCTTGTCAAATTATTTTTCTGCGACATGTTATGTTCGTGATTTCGCGACGTTTAATTACTAGTGCATACGGATATAGCTGAATTATTGCGGAAGTTTCTGAACGTCGCGCGTCGGTCGCGACAGGTAAAGGGTAGTCGGGCACTCGCCAGATATGTGTTTATGGAGGGTAGAAATAAAGAGAATAATATTATGATTATTGTTAGTTCCCAGTAGTTAGTACACAGAAAAAAAAATTGAGGGTGTTTGGGAAGTCTCGAAAGGAAACAATGTTTTTGCGACGTTTCGCGACTTTATTGTCGCTTCTTCAGGCACCCAAACATATACTACATATTAATCCATATGCCTACAGACATTCATGGCGATTCCAACCGCCAACACTAAGACACATACAGACAAACGAACAGAAACTTAACGATGCTCGGTTTATGTCGTTCTCGACAGTACGTCATAGAGTATACAGGGTGTCCCAGACTGAGCGTGCATAAGAAGTTTCTAGAGAACCACAATATCTAGATCGGAGGTTTTTTGTACATCATTGTTTTACAATAATATGGCGGCACTTCCAGAAATATCGGAAGTTGACAGTAACTTTCTTATTTTAAATGGATGCCCCCATTTTTTATTACACACTTAAATTCTCTGTAAAATTTTATGAATTTTGATATTAAACACTCTATACCTAACATTAACCGTTTTTGAGAAATAAATTATATTTAAAATTTTTGGACGAAAAAAATTGCCTATTTAAAATAAGAAAGTTGTTGTCAACTTTCGGTATAGAAATTTTAAAACATTTTCCGATGCACGTCATCAACTTTGAGTGACAAGCGATGGCGACAGCGCTGCCAGATTGTGATGGATTTATGAGATGAATCTTAATTTAAAAGTGACAAACAATATATTTAGTATATATTTTTTTTTGTTAGCAGCTACTCGCTACAAATTGATATAAGTAGAAATAACATGAAAGTGGTATAATGTGCTTACCAATCAATCTTACTTCTCTGACTGCATTCAAGGGTAATAAAGGACCTTTATTGTCACGTTCGCGCTCAAAATATTTTATCAGGGAAGCTAAAAGCGCTTTGCTTCGACTGTTTAATGGCTTCGGCATATTTTCAATCCACAATTTCAAAAAATGCAGTAAAAATCTCGAAAATTTAGTTCTCAAAAGAACTATTTGTGCTTAGAAGTACAGTTTAAGAAAAAAACTATGAAAACGGCAAAAAACGAGAATTACTCCCAAAAATGATATACAAAATAATGACTGACACTAGGATAATTGTCAAATAATACACGACAACATTGCTGAACATGGCGCAATGTGACCAACAAGGCGATAATAAAAATCGGTTTAAACTAATTTTTGCAGCTTTAATCTAAATTAAATATCTGTTACAATCATTTGCTCTATAAAGTATAATGAAGAGCTGCTTGGTATCTTAAATAAGTAAAAAAAATAAACATTTTTGCTAAAATTTCATTTACTCAGGTTTATAGGCTTTAGTGTCAATGTCGATGTGATTGATGACGTGCATCGGAAAATGTTTTAAAATTCCTATATCTCCGGAAGTGCCGCCATATTGAAAATATTTTTAATCGATAGATCTCGTTGTAAAACAATGACATGCAAAATTTATTTATTTTTTAACAATTTTAATAACTAGTAACATTTATTGGTAACGTAAAATAAAATAAATTATTGAGTTCATCCTACATACATTTTACACGTTTTAATAGAATTAGGATTGACAGGTAAATGACTGATAAACCAGAATTTAAGTCAGCCATATTAGGTTCTCATTGCGCTCAAGTTAAGTTTTTTTATATATTCCTTCCTTAATCTTTTTATTCAAAGTTTCTTTTTATTCAAGTATTCTATCTATTTCTTTTTAATTATGTCCTGCTTTAACATTTCTTAAATGCAGAACTTTTGCTAGAGCAGCGTCTCTTAATTGTATAATAAATATGTATTTGAATATCAAATATTCCTCTTTAATGACTACTTTTCTATACACGTTCATAATTCTCTTTACCTCTACTCTTCATAAATTAGGAAAATATAGATATGCAATAAAATAAATCAAACATATTTTTACATTTTGTAATAACTATTCTGCATTTGGAAGATATGAACAAATTGGTAAAAAAATGTTTCCTAAATCGTCTTTCATGTCTCAAGTTTGTGACCTCCAGTAAAAAGCAATTCTTATTAAAGAATATCTCAATATGTGTATTAGCTCCTGAGTTAATTGGACACATATGTGCCTAATCAATTTAGATGAAGAATTTAAAAAACCCATGCAGTAGAAAATAGCTATTTATGTAACAAATGTTTTTTTATGTGTTTTAAGCACGGGACGCAAAATTGTCGGACAATGCTTAAAACACTCTTTTCGCAACGAATTTCATACAAGATTTTTTGTGAAAGCGGATAATTTGGGATTTTCATGCTATTATTATTATTTATTTTTAAACATTTTTTAAAATGTTGTGGTAATCAGTTTCTAAGGCATTGTTTATGCATGTTTAATGACAGAGTTCTGTCAGGTTTAAACGTCGCCGTATTTCTTACAAAGTTTTGTGAAAAAAATGAGTGATAATGACTAGTCTTTGGATATTCAACAAGCTGCTGAAACTGCACTATCCACGTTAGTGACCGAGAAGTAGAAAAACTTATACGAGACCATCTACAATAACTTTGAAACCTGGGTCAAAGAAAAACATGTTGAGAATTTCACAGAAAAGGTATTGCTAGCCTATTTCCTAACGTTTCATTTTTTACTTTTAGGCACTAGTGCCTAAACAAGTGTCACTTTTAGATACTAGTGGATACTAGTGCCCTTAAGCTAGTGCCCAAAGAATATACCTAGCTAGAAAAAGAATGGACTCTGCCATACTGAAAAATGGTCCTACAGAAGTGCCCCCTTGTTTAAAACAAGCCCTACTCAATAGATGAAAGCCATCTATTGAGTAGGGCTTGTTTTAAATGGACCGAAGCGCGGGCTTTTTAAATTAGCGTATTTATTGAATTTTACTCTAAAATAATTAAATTTGATTATTAAATCTTATTTTTTACACAAATTCAACAATACTAATAACAAGTATCGTTGTCATGTGTAAAAAATAAGATTAACAGTATAATTTATACAATTATTAAATAAAATTAAAGCCAAACATGTATAAATATTATTTATTAAGGCCGTTGGAAACTATGGAAACTACAAAAAAATTCTGATTAACCTCTGGCTATAACTAGTAGCAAAGACTAGTAGCAACTTCTTAACCTAAAAATTAATTGCACTCCCACCTAGCGCCTGAGGCTGGAACTATTTTATTTGAAATTTCCGTGGAAACGGTGGAACCGCTTTTGCTATTTCACTTTCCCGCCCTTGCTAGTGCCTAAAAGAATGTAATTTTGAATCTCAAATGAATATCAAAAACTGTCAATTTCGAAACGCTTTCACAAAAATATTTTTAGGATAAAATCACGTAGAAATTTTATACCGGATCTTTGGGTATACACACTTTTAATTCTAAAGTAATGTTTTTTTTATACTTCTTTTCGTTTCATATTAATTCCACATATATGACCAAGAATACTTTGCTTTACTGTGTTACATTTACGTATTTAAAAGCAGAAATTTGTTAAAAATATTGAACAGACACATTGTCTATTTTATTTCATATGTACCCATTAGAATATCTAATTTGTGACTCATAAAAAATATGATGTAGAAAATGTGTTAAAATGTACTGTAACTAAAATTTTTAAATTATATATAATTAAATTTGAAAAATAATTACCTAAATTAACACTAAATTATGTTTTAAATAAAACGTTCTAAACGTTTTCCGTTTTCTGTTTTAAATATTTATGATCTTCAAAACCGAAAAACATTCCATATTAGACAATATAGCAGTACACAATAATTCAGCCATTTTCGTCAGCCCGATTCTATTCTCAGACGCAACGATTGAATTTTGCGCCGAATGATGAATGTCAACTGAACCGCTTTGCATGCTGCGAACATTCTGCTGAATTTTGTCATCTAGATGAAATATTTACGAGAGTGGCGCCACTTTTTTTCTTACACTGTGGTTATATTTTATGAAAAATAAATTAAAATATATCTTTTTAGGTTCTCTATATTTTTGGTGCGTTGCTATATGCTTTAAGAGTGCCTGAACGATGGTTTCCCGGCAAATGTGATATCTGGTTTCACTCGCATCAAATATTCCACGTTTTTGTTCTTGGCGGAGCACTAGTACACTACCATGGTATTTCTGAAATGGCAATGCATCGGGTAACAATAGGACAGTGTGAAATACCTGATACTTTGATATATTAATTTGAAATCAGAGATTAGAATAAAAATATTTCCTCAAAACAGGGAACCAAAGAACATAGATTTATTTTCTCTAATTGATCTGATCGTTATACGTTAAAAGGAAAACAATTAAATAGGATTGATAATTTTATTTCTTAATACTCATTAAACTAAAAATAAAAAAGGGGTATTAAGAAAATATAAAATTTCATCTGTCAGCTTTACGTTTTTGATTTGGCGTTGGTATTACTTATTTATATCACTGTTATAGTCATTTCATGGGACACTTCAATGTTATATTGTTTAATTGCACTATAATAGATTCAATAAAAACAGGTATTCTAAATACATTCTCTTTAAACAATTGAATCATTCTTATTGTTTAACAAAAGTATAAAATCTTTCAAAAAATTGTTTGCACATATGCAATTATATATTTTAATAGTCTCTCTTTGTTTGTGCTTAGTTTTTGTATATAAATTGGCTTTTGACATTTAAAGATTGCACTTCTTAGTGATATAATTTGTGTGGTATAAATACTAAAGTGTTAATAAAAATTATATATTTTGCTATTCATTATGTGAAGACTAAACTTTTATAACTATGTAAGATGTAGTGGAAATTGTCCGCAGGATTTTATCCTTGACATCCTATATAATATTTATTCTAAGATAATAAAACATGAATATGCAGGATATGTGTAGTGATATAAAAAGCAACTTAAGATAATTCATTAAAAATAGATGTAAGTGTTAAGTCTTTTCTTTATTGTTAAATGTTTTACACTGGTACCTGGATATATTTGCATATTTGTTTCCTTTGACATAATACTTATTATCGAACAATCATTTTTCCTTATTTTATTTAATTAAAAATGTGTTTTTATTTTAAATTATTTTATATTTATCTTATAATTCTTTTTAAATTCTTATATTTTTTATGTGGTATATACAGTGCGAGTCAACAAATATATTAAGTAAACTACATCATGTGTATTATTTATTAAAACGATTAGCGGGGGTGTTTTTATGACGCGCCATTTTGGCCTGCGGTCTGTAATAAAAATCTATAGGCTTGGTGCATTTTCCGCTGGTGCTGTCACCGCCGGAGAATATCGAAATAACGAATACATACAAATACACGGGTTTAAATGGCGAGTAAACGAAAAAATTATTATATAATTATTCTGAAAGTGTTAGAAAGTATAATTTGTGGAAATTCTAATCAAAAAAATAAAAAAGTAAATATTTTGATATCTTTAGAAGGTCTAACTTGCATTATAATGTATTATTCTAGTTAAAAAATTTTTAGATGAGTTCAACTACGGTAGCGAGCATAGTTTTATCACCGGTTTTGCTAATGGCGCATAATTGGAGCTATTTCGGCTATAACGAAATTTTTTAAAGGTACATAGTTATAATTTTAGAAGATGTTCATAAAACATTTAATCACTAGTTGATTAAAAAAGTATACCATTAATATTGCAAATTATATTTCATTCTCTCATAGTTATATGCCAATTTGTCTATTTAATTTTTTGATTATGTAACGAGCATTTTATTTGTTCACTTGTTTCGTCGAACTGCTTGAATCCATTTTTGCTATTGATCAAATCGGTGTGAAAAACTATGAACTATAAAATGTTGTTTCGGGAGAGTTGAATATCCGGGAAAGTTGAGTTATTGAATGTTATTGCACCCAACAACGCCCTAAGTACGCTCTCCTTTACATGTTAACATTTTTTCGGCAATTTTATTAACACTAGAAATTGTCACAACACAACACGACGCCTAGTTCGAATTCTTTTTCACTTATTTTTTACTACCCGAAACAGTTACATCACACAAATCTCGTACCTGAGTGTTTTATAGTTTCAATAACTGCACTAACAAAAAATCAAAATACTTAAATATTATGACAAAACCACGATTTCAATATTATTTTAATGCAATCAACATGACGGCGGCGTGAACTATATATTGATAATTTCAGATTTTTTCCGTAGAGTGCGCTGCGGTCGGAATTTGTTGAAATCAACTGAAATGCACCAAGCCTATAACTAAATCATTTTGTAAGTATGTGCAATATATTAGCAAGTAAAAACTAATACACATACGTATATGTTTGAATATAACCTTTTAATTTTTTCACAGTCACTTAATAAACCGCAAAATCTTCGTAAATACACCAGCACAATATATACAAGATGTTTTTTAAATAATTTAAATTATTTTTAGTCCTGAAAAAAAATATATATTTTCTATTTACAATTTTTCAAAATAGGCAAGTCATTTGAGTGTGAAAATTTAATATGATAAAAAATGTTTCCCATTTGAGACCCACCGGGTTATTCTTCTTTTATAAATTTTATTCTACTACCTATATTACCTACGTGATAAGTATGTGCTCATAAGATCCCTAAAATTTATGTATATACAGGGTGAGTCTTAAATAAGTGCAAATATTTTTAGGGGTAGTATATTTCGACCCCAGAAACACGATTATGAGGGGTTTTTCGCGAAAATTTGAAATTTTTTGAAACATTTTTTGGATTTTTTTTAGTTTTTAGTTAAAAACATAATTTCTTGATGAAATGGCAAGATAGGTAGTAGATTAAATTTACAAGAAATGAAATCCAGTGGTTCTCAAAATTTTAGCAAAAACTCATTTTTTTGGAAATTTTCAAAGTACAATTACTCAGTTATTTTGGATTTATTTGAAAAACAGTAAAGTGAAAATATGTGTCTTTTATCGAGATCTACCAGCCCTGAAAATATTTGAACTTATTTAAGACTCACCCTGTATAATATAACTATTTGTGGAATATATGGTAATTAACTTTTTTATTTTACTGCTGGTTAAAGCAATGAGGTCAGCACATTGACCCTAGGTTTTGTTTATCTAATTTTCGTATTTTTATATACATATCCAGATAAATTGAATGATAAAGTATTGTGTCCTTGGTAAATATAAGGCTACACTGATTAGTTTATACTTTGAAGATTACCAGTGGAAATTTATATGTATATTATATACATACAGGGTGGCCCATCGAAAACGTTCCGCAATGCATAACGGCCAGGGTATTTTTTTTTTCAAAAAATTCAAAAACACTTCAATTTTGTTTGTGAGGGGGACAACTTTTGCCCCAAAAATGATTGCAAAATCTTCAACCTAATGAGAAGAACTTCAACGCACAAGTCACAGAATAGCTATCTAGCAACTACCGCACCTGATGTTCAACCTTGTGGCAAGTGAAAAAATGCGTAAACATCTAGAAATAATAAGAAAAAACAGCAAATTGATCGAAGGAATTTATCCTTATCATTTACTCTGATAAATGTTTAAATAAACTTTTCAAATTTCAATCCTTCATATTTTCTCAATGACTCGACCGCTTTTCAAAATCGAAACAGGAAAGTATAGAGAATAGAAAGCCCTTTTCATTCCAGCGCCACTTGACTCCCCTTCCCATTTGAGAAAAGTTGTGGGGTGACAGCCCCGCTTACAGGGTTGAAAATTTTGCAATCATTTTTGGGGCAAAAGTTGTCCCCCTCACAAACAAAATTGACGTGTTTTTGAATTTTCTGAAAAAAAAAAATTACCCTGGCCGTTATGCCTTACCGAACGTTTTCGATGGGCCACCCTGTATACATATACAATAGAATATCATTTAGCAAACAATTTGGAAGTATAAACTAATTGGCCGTTTTATTTTTTTGTGTTTAAAATTACTTTTTTCTTTGGGTACTATAGTTTAGCTTAGAATATGTTACTTTCTCTCATTACAGCAATGCAATTGTTTATTTATAATTTTAAAGAAGAGGGATCTTAGGCAAATTGTAGTAACCAGTTTAGTTATAAATGGTTTTGAATGTATTCGTCTGATTCTTGTCTGGAATATCTTGCAGGAACCTGTCATGTTATTAATAAAACCTTTATGAAAAATATTTCTTTTTATTGACTTTATTCTTTATTTGTTATTACAGGATTTACAATATAATATTTATTTCAAATTAAAATTATATTACTATGTTTTATTATTAAATGACTAGTGCATGGTTTGTAGGGTAACTCTGAAATTTAAATATTCAGGGCAATTTTATATAAATGTTCTATGGAAGTCCATTAAAATGATTAGTTGAACATTATAGCACCCTAAATGTTTTACAAGCTTTATTGTGGGCAGGGTTGGCATAATTTAAATCATGATTTAAATCGTGATTTAAATCAAGTGATTTTTTTAATTTTAATTATGTGATTTAAATCAAAAAAATATTTTTTATTGAAACTTTATAATAAATCAAAAAATAACTGTAAAACTGTGTCCTAGAAAACTAGAAAAAATATTTCTATAACAGATAATAAATCGAAAAATAATTGTAAATGTTATAAAACTATATAAAAATATCTATTCATCAATTTAAATGTTGGACCGATTTTTAAAGTAATTCGTGTGAATCCATTAGCCCGCTAACGCAGGGATTTATTTTAAAATTTATGTATAAGTGACAAAAATTCGCTGTTCAAATACATATCATTCGCAAAGTCTAGTGCAGAACTAGATTCTTCTGATATAGAGACTATATCTTCATTTCCGAGAATCTATAATCGTGAGAAAACGTGTTGTTTTATATTTTTTTTGAAACGGTTGTATGTTTCCAAATTCCTACCGACATTTTGATCTGCAGTACTTTACCTTAGTACTTTACCCTTTGATATTAGATAATACATACTAATTTCATTCTCGACTTAAGACTATTTCCGGACAATAGTCTATTGTTTTATTAGGAGTAAAAATTATATTTTTTTTGACGATGCTGTACCTTTGAAGGACCATCGTAAAGTTATTCCGACGTTACAGGGAGGCACAAAAAGTACATTTTTACTCCGAATAGAACATTCTATTTCTTTTAAAATATTACAAATATTTTTTTCATAAATTTCAAACATTGCAAATAATATGAACAGTAATCAAGCAACAATTTGTACACTCGTTGAATTTGACACTTAATATCAGTTTAATAATATATTTTTGTACTTTTGTCCTTAGGCGTAACCTTAGATGGTGTAACAGTGTTTTACTTTTACGCCTAGGCGTTAAAATGACAAAAGTTAATATCTTTGAGGTGTTTGAAAAAAAATCATTTTGATCTGAAGCGAGCGACTTTTTTTGCGGAATATATCGGTTACCGATGTGGAAAAATGACAACGCGCAGTAGAATTGTTAATGTTATCGGTATCGGGCAGAATTATAAAGATTATATATTTAGGATAGGACTTCAATTGGAAACAAGTCCTAGTCATTTGGAAATCCGATTTAAATATTGTTTTGAATTAAAATCAAAAAAATCTGATTTAAACCAAGAAAATTTGATTTAATCAAAAAAATCTTATTTTTTTGATTTTTTTTAAATCATGATTTTTTCCAACCCTGATTGTGGGTATCGACAAATTTACAAGAAAATGTTTTTAATCTTATCTAAAATTACAAGGCTGACTATACACGGGAGTAAATAATTAATATGTGTCGTAGTACCGCTGTTCTTTGGTTTCGTGAGCCCCAGTTGGTTCGGTTCATCTACTTCATTTGTTAGTTGATTTCCCGCAGCTGGATACCACGTTTCAGTGGATGGTAAAACGGAAGGATTCCACATGGACGTTGGAGCAGTGTTAAAACTTGATGTTGTAGTTCTTTGACCTTCTTTTGTTTTGCGATGCGTTGGACCTACCAGAAATTATGAAAATATAATAATGTGATTGAAATATAGTAATACAGTGCTTTTCAATCCCATACAGACTTCAAAAAAGTTACAGCAATATACAGGGTGGCCCGAACTGTATTCCGGAAACTTCGGCAGCATATTCTGCAGATAAAAATAAGTAAAAAAGTCGGAGATACAGGATGTAGAAGTTTCATTTTTATTTCGATTTTTTCCAAATAATTTCTAAACTAACGTCAATATTTGGATGAAAATTGGTGTCTGGGAGCTTTTTGACATGAGAAATTTGATTTTGATGTCAATATGACTCCTATTTGTAGAGGGCGCCACTTACATATTTTTTAACTGGTTTGAAGAGTAATAACTTTTCGTCCGTATCTGTATAAAACTACTGAGTGAAAAAATGTACATTTACGTAAAAAAGGTATCTTGGTAAACATCGTTACAAGTAATGGTTATCGAGATATTTGGAATCGAAATTATCAGTACCTGTCGTCAATAACATAAATTTTCAGTCAAATAACTATCTACTGGACATGTTTATTTTTTGTCAAAAATGACGTATATTGCCTATTTCCATTCTAAATATCTTGTGAACGGTTGCTCGTAGCGATTTTTACCAAGAGACATTTTTTGCGTAAAAAATCACGGAAATGTATCATGACATCAAAATCAAGTTTCTCATGTCAAAAAACTCTCTCCCAGACACCAATTTTCATCTAAATATTGACGTTACTTCAGAAATTATTTGGAAAAAAATCGAAATAAAAATGAAACTTCAACACCCTGTATCTCCATAACTAAGCATTTCAGGACATTCATTTATACGAACTTTTTTACTTATTTTTATCTGCAGAATATGCTGCCGGAGTTTTCGGAATACAATTCGGACCACCCTGTATATGAAAGTTGTATTTTTTTAATGTCACACCCTATACACCTATACACATATGAAAGAAAATTAAGGCTCGTTTCATAAAATCAGCTTATGTTAAAACTGTACGGATATTGACAAGTTTAACATTTTCACAAATTGAGGAACAAATTTTAAATTATACCTATGGGGAGTTCCATTTAAAATTATTTATTATTTATATACTAGCCCTGGTTACTTCATCTGTGTGGTTTGTATTTTAATGCATGCGACAGAGATAAATATAAATGACTGGTTGACAGATAGAGACAAAATAAAAAGCGGCGGGGTTTCCATTTGAAAAAAGTGATTTATGATAATTTTTTAATCGCTGAATTCCATGACAGCCGCGGCCAATATTATATGACATTCGAACAATTTAATTCTTGAAATAGATAGCCACATGCCTTCTCTTTATGCCACAGTGGCTGTGGTAATCACTAAATTTGTCGTTTAGGTTACACCGATTTTTAATTGACAGGCAGTTTTTTTCCTCCAAAAATTCTAAATATTTTTTTTCTCAAAAACGGTTAATGTTAGGTATAGAGAGTTTAGAGATATCAGAATTCATAAAATTTTACAGAAAATTTAAGTATGTAATAAAAAATGAGGATATCCATTTAAAATAATAAGGTAAGTTGCTGTCAATTTCCGGTATTTCCGGAAGTGCGCCATATTGAAAATATTTTTAATTGATAGATCTTATTGTGAAACAGTGATGTGCAAAAAATTTCCGATCTAGATATTGTAGTTCTTTAGAAACTTCTAGTGCACGCTTAGCCTGGGACACCCTGTATATCCTTACCATTCACATGATCACTACCCGGCTTATTAAGCCCTTCAAACACATCCCATGCTGAAACAGTAGCAAATTTTTCTCGGAAGATGTTATCCTCGGTAGTTGAGACATCCGAAAGCATTGGATAAGTGTTGCTCGATACACTAGAGCTCGAATCTGTAGACCAGCTGTTTGATCTGCCATATGATGAAGGTCTCTTCCTTGAACCTAAGTGTTGGGTCGGTAATGAAGACGAACCTAGAAATTTTAATTATTTCTACTTATTGTTATGCTGTAATATTTACGATTAAAAAAACAAGAAAAATAGATAAATATAAAGTATCTTTGGTAACTGAAGATACCCTGAGATTCATAATATATAGATGTATATAGATAAATAATAAAAGAGTTTCTTGCCTTGAACTGCTATATAGAAATTCGACAACAAGTCGGATTTAGATACTCTGCATTGTGTTTATCCATTTTGTGGAATCAACCCAAGCTCACCTGATGATGGAGTAGGGCTCCGGAACCGGTAGTGAGAGCAGGTTGTTCCCTATTATGACGAACACAGTGTGGAATTAATTTCTATAGGCAGTTCAAGGCAAAAAACTTTTATTGTTATGTAATTTTATTATAGACCTAAAAACTGCAAGAAATAGTTTTTCATTTTATAGATTATGTAGATATATACCTACCCGAATATACAAAATTTTCCCAATCTTCTGTAGGAACGTTCGATGTAGCCCAGTTACTTGATGTAGAGACTGATACTTTTGGTATTCGTGAAGGTGATATCTCCTTAAAACCGATATCGTGACGTACTGTACTCCAGGGGTAAGTTTCACTGGAAACTGTACTTTGTATAGACGTTGGATCGGATCTATCGGAATATGATCTTATAGAATCCTGAGGAGTTGCACAATCACCAGAATTGGGTCTAAAATTATTAATAATTATGTATGTTAATATATGAAGGGCTTACTGTAATAACATGATAAGTCACTCAACCAGAAATCAGTTTTATTAACTAGTAACTAGTGATTTTCTTGGTTTTTATCCAACAAATTTGTTAGATAAATAGCGAGTTAAAAACTAAAGTAACTCTAAAACGTCTTCAAATTTATATTTTATTGATAGTTAAATTTACACATTTTTTCAAAACTGCGAAGTCTAATAATTCAGAATGATGGATTTGTGGCATATCATATTACAATAAGCTCTTCTTCTTATATTAAATATACAGGGTGGCGCCTCTCATACGCCGCGGAAGCTCCAGGGAAAACGGTAGTTTATATCGAAATAAAATTTTGGTAGCATATGTAGGTTAATTGAAAGCATTTTATAAAAATATATAAAATTATACAGAGTGTCCCCAAAAAAAGTTACACATCAAAGTTGTGTTTTTTCTAATGGAACACCCTATATATTAATTGCTTTTCGGATTTTATGAAAAAAAATAAAGGTCAGTTTTATTAGAAGCATATATCTAAAATCTAAGGATTTTGACATATTTCACATTTTGTAAAAATGAAGAGTAAATTTTAAATTTCGATAACAGCTACCTAAATTTTAGTTGACCTTTTATAGCCTGATATTTAAATACAGTCACCATTGAATCTTAAACCAAATTGAAATTTGGCCCAAAAAGTTATACAGGGTGAGACAAAATTAATATGGAACATTAGTCACGTTTAAAAGCAAGATACTCCCTTATTTTAAATGGAACACCCAATATATTTTTAGGGTGTTCAATGGGGAATTTATATATCTTTAAAATATTATTAAGGTTGCCTACCCCTCAGACAAAGATTTTCCTAGATATTTTAATTTTTATGATTTTGCGTCGGTAGATTTTTATTATTCGAAAATATCTAGGTGGCTGTGTGATACACGTTTTGTTAATTTAACAAAAATTAAATATTGTAGAAAAAAATACTCAACAGTCATAAAAAGATACACGTTTAAAGCATATTTTAGTTATTGCAGAATTAAAACTAAATATAAACCTATAACTATGTGACAAAAATTAGCCAGTAGAAATCAAATACTCAAAATGCTTCCTTTCCTGTTAACTGCATAAAATGATTGTCTTTTCAAAAGGATCTTTTCATTTAAAAATGTATATGTGGAGCTCTACCTCGAAAAGCTGCTAGAATAATTTTTCTCATGTTGTCGACAGTAGTTGGTCGAGTTTTGTAAACACTGTCTTTAACATATCCCCATATAAACCCAGACTAGATAAAATCAGGAGCATTTAAGTATTCTATTAATTGGTGAATGCACACTAAATTCACCAACTGATAGAATCATATCAATTCTCTCTGATGTAGGATAAGTTTGCATTTTCGGCAAATTTCTGAGAAATGTTTTTGTTTTAACTGACACAAAATGATAACTACAGTACGTCTGTCCGTTCTGTGGCTACGGAGTATCCGTGAGAGGGGAAACGATATTCTCTCGATGTTTTTCGTAAAAAATTAGACGACGAGTCCCATCAATAAAAATTCGACAAATTTGCAATAGCCAATAAAATGAGTGGGCGGAGCGATTTGCGGTGACGTACTCGTCAAGTCGACGTATAAACTATATTGCTGTTTATTTAAATGTTTTTTGCCCGCATTCCTTTCATAGACACAGATCGAGCAGACGAACTGTAGTTGTTAAAGTTGGACTAATTAGACAGCTATGTTGCAGTAACGTCAGACATATCACAGCCACCTAGATTTTATCAAATAATAAAGATCTACTCCGATCAAATCATGTAAATGGAAATAGGAAAAACTATGTTTGAGGGGTAGGCAACCTTAATAGTATTTTGAAGAGACATGAATTCTCCATTGAATATCGGAATAATATACTGGGCTAGGTTAGGTTAGGTTAGGTTTAGTTAGTTCCATTTAAAATAAAAGAGTAACATGCTTTTAAAGGTGACCAATGTTTAATATTAATTTTGTCTCACCCTGTATAACTTTTTGGATCAAGTTTTAATTTGATCTAAAGTACAATTGTTAATTTAACAATATATTAGGCTATACCGGGTTAATTGCAATTTAGGTAGCTTTTATTGTAATTTAAAAATTGTTCTTTATTTCTAGAAATTGTCAAATATGTCAAAAACCTTGCATTTTAGTCATATACTTCTCTTCTAAAACTCACCTTTATTTTTCTCCAAGAATCCTAAAATTAATTAATATATAGGGTGTTCCATTACAAAAAACACAACTTTGATATGTAACTTTTTTTGGGGACACCCTGTAGAACTCTCTATATTTTTAAAAAGTGCTCTGAATTAACCTACATATCATGTCCACAAAATTTCATTTCAATACAAACTGTCGTTCTCCTTGGAGCCTCCGCGGCGTATGAGAGGCGCCACTCTGTACAGGGTGTTTCAAAAAACATGTGCCATCTCTCGTGGGGAGATTCCTCACGTAAAAATAAGTTTTATTTTTCATATCAACCTAGATCTAATTCTGCTTTGTTTCGTAGCTACAGGGTGACAAACTCTCGAAATTTTGAGGGTAAAAGTTACTATAAATGCGACAGTTTTAAATAAGTACTCATTGATTCCTCATCAAAAAATATTAAAAAAATTCCTATAAACATGGGTATGGAAATGCATAGTTTTGGAGTCTGTATATTACAATATATTTTAATTATTTATTTGTATTTATATCACCAGTTGTAAACTTACATGTAGTTTATACATTGATCGTGTAGAAATCTTAAAGCTTTGTCCAATGTTTGAACGGCAAATTTAGATGCTGGACCATCTTGAACACCTCTATCGCATATTCTTCTTGTCTCGCGTTGGACACACTGCTTAAACCGATCGTGCGAACTGTTATAAAAAATATACTATAAGGAAATAACATTAAGATTGTCATTTTTAGGGTTCCGTACCCAAAGGGTAAAAAAAGGGTTCGCTGTCCGTCCGTCCGTCCGTCTGCAAGTCACAAAGCTCTATCTTATGAGCCGTTATAGCTAGACAGTTGAAATTTTCATAATGTATCTATGTTGCCGCTATAAGAACAAATACGTGAACACACTGAAAAAAGAATTAAATAAAGGTTTATAAATAAAAAAGTACTTCCACTAAACATTATCTTTTAAGTAAGAATTTTACATAGAATCTTTGAAGTCCTCGGTGGCCGCGTGGACGTTGGAGCCGTAGTAAGGCAGGTTCGAATCCCAGTCAAGGCGACTTTTTTTTAATCGTTTTTTTTTAATTTTTACATATTTTTACATATTTATTTTTACTTTTTATATATTTATTATTGATTAATACAATTTTTAGTAATGTGTTTCTTATTTTTTTTTAAATTACTTATACGCGCATTCAAAATTTCAGCTAAATCGGAAAAAAAGTTTATAATAATATAGTGTCTAATGTTGTATAATGAATGGTACGGAACCCTTCGTGCGCGAGTCCGACTCGCACTTGACCAATTTTTTATTTACCAGCATAGTGTAGATTTTGATATTATTTCACCTTGATCAACCTGGTCTACCAGCAAGTTATAGTGAGATCCACAGTGTCTTATTTCTGTTATGGTACTTTTTATGCATGGGGCATGTCGTAGGTATTCTATAAAAAAAAATCTAGAAATAACATACAGTATGTCCCCGGATTGTCTTTACAAGAGGAAAAACTTTTTTATTATTAATATTTTCAGAGAAATGCATTCTTCATAAAAGTTTTTGCTTGTTCTAAAATAACTAATCCATGGTTACTCCCGTACATAATCTGGGGACATACTGTATACTACCAAAAAGGATTGAAACATATACAGGGTCGCTGATATGTATGGGAACGGTCGATTATTAGGTAAAATTAAATTTAAATATAAAAGTTATAGGGTTTTTAAATATTTATTACCGGGTAATAAATTTAAGTATACAGGGCCGGTTATAAAGTCGTGGCACATTAAAGTTTCATTTTTTTTAAATGGAACCCCCTGTGTGTTATTGCATATTTCGGTTCTTCCTTCAATTCTAAGCAGAAATCGAGATACACATAATGTACCTGAAACCACTGACTTGAAAATATCACTTAAACAATTCGATTTAATTAATTTCAAGGTGTTCGGTTTCATTTAACGATGCCATTCTGCGGAAACTGTGATACTTAATAATATTTGACATTAGTTTTTAAGTTAGCAGTTATAGTTGTATAAAATGAGATTATATCAAGTCTGGAAATTACAAAATTTTCGTTTAACATTTCAAAATTAAAAAAAAATTATTGAATTTAGCTACATAATCGTAATACACATAATGTACCTAAATTCAACAATTGTGTGTGCCTGATAGTATTTTATGTTTAAGCTATATTTCTGATTGCTAGTTTTTCAATTATCATCCTATACATTTTTAATAAAAATGATCATCACCTGTTTACCTTTTTGATAATCGGGATGCATACACATTTGATGTATGCTTTCAATTGGACTTTCAACTGCTCTATTGAATTGTTTTCTCTGTGATTCAGTGAAGCAACTCTCAGTGTACGTTTTCAGACAGTCAACAAATCTGTTCCAGGTGCGACAAACTAAATCTATGTCATCTAAGTTATCTGGAAATACTAAATGAGCTTCCTAGAGTGATTAAATAATTACGTTTAATAAATACAATAATTAACGAAATTAATTCTAAATGTTAGAAGCTTACCTTAACCAAGGGATCTGCTATCCTGACGCATCTGTCATATCCATTTTCCGAACAGTCCCGTCTTTGTGCCTTAACAGCACTGATCATTAATAAAAGCGCAACTAAAATGTTCCACCACATATTCCTAAAAAGATAGTTTACGATAGATTGCAATGATTTTTTTTATTTAAATATATAATAATAGTATATAACAAATAAAATATATATAACATACGAACATCTTTCAAAACACAAAATACACTTAGATCTATTTTATCACATATTAAACCAATGAATACAGAACAACAAACAAAAAATGTAATATACCAAATACCATGCGATAAATTTTACATTGGTGAAACATCTAGACCCTTAAATGTTCGAATTAAAGGACACAAAGATTATTTAAGAAAGGAAGATTTTCACAAATCGATGATTTGTCAGCATTCTTGGGACACAAGGCACAGAATAAATTGTAATAACGCCAAAATTATAATGAAAGAAGCGATAGCCTCTAAAAAAAAATAAAAGAGGCTTTTTTAATACAATCTAATAAAAATAATTGTATTGCTCATGCATCTGTAGATGTTAGTAATGTATGGCAATCGCGTTTTTGATTTTAAATAACATAACATAAATAAACATAATATACGTAAAAATTAAAAATAATCATACAGAAAATTTGGGGTTTTTTGGTTTTACCTTATTAAGTAATTGTTATCAGGTAGCAATTGATAATTTTGAAGTTTAACGGTTTTTGTAGACGTATCTGTCTTAAAAAACTAAAGTGTTCTAGAATAGTTGAATTTAAATATTTTAAATAGTTTTTTTCTTTATTCTTATTTTTTTTTGCTTCCGACGACGGAAAGAGATAAACTTTCCGAAACGTTAAGCATTTTTTTGTTCGTTAGGCAAATTTGTATATCTTTAAACCTAACTTCTGACAAGTAGTTTCCGTTTGGGATTAACGCAGAAGTGTTTACATAAAATAACTATTTTATTTTGTAGATTTTCTTGCAGTTGCGAAATACCTATATAGGATTTTTTGGAGAGATGAATCCGCCACATAGGTATAGACATTTTTTGTAATAATAGTGTTCCATATATTATGGATATCATTTACGTGCTTTAGCAGTGGCAAAACCTAGCTGGCTCTGCAAGAACTGGCTGTATTACTAGGTAGTATCTTAGTGTGACTAGCACTACGCATCATATAGCTATATCAGCCAGTCAGCTTCGTTAGTTTTTGAGTACCCGAGCTTTAGGTACGACACAAATGATGATGATGATTCAGCATACGCAGACCTTGAAAAAACCTATGTACGATTTCGCTGTAAAATTAATAGGCGAGCCAATGTAGAATGTTTAGGAGGGGGATTAATCACGGCGACCTTATAGATCTATTGTGTGATCCCCTTTCTTTAGTTATAACGAGTTATAACTCATCATACAGTCTCAGGGCTTTAACTAAAGCCAGTATCTGAGACAGCTCCACAGTGGCCAGCTCTCCATCCTCGACATCAGCCGTACCAAAGTTCATGGCACGAATGGTCGTCGTCTCGGCGCACTCAGTGATAAGGTGTTCTGGTGTTTCCCCATTTTTCCCACAGAATCTGCATTCGCCGTTTTTTCTCAGCTTCAGCCTACTGAGGTGTTCGTTGAGGAGACAGTGTCCTGTTAGAAACCCCGTGGCAATCCGAAGATTGTTTTTACTTAAATCAAGGAAAACCTTTGATTTTTCTCGGTCGTAAGTTCTGAGGAACTTTTTCGAGCGTCTTAGACCGTTGGAGGACACCCATTCCAAGTTACGGATGGAGTCTTCCAGATTCTTCAGTTCTGCTTTCAGTTAGTTCCCGTTTGGAAAACAGAACGGTTCTGGTCCATTTAGTGGAGTGTTCGCTCCTTTTCGAGCTAGATCATTTGCTTTTTCATTGCCTTCTGTCCCTTGATGAGCAGGCACCCAGAGTAGGAGGACTTTATTTTCTTTGTCTAATTTGTTGAGCTTCTCTAGGCATTCTTTGACCTTCGAATTGATGGTTATTGAGTTGATCGCGTTAAGTGCTACTTGACTATGGGATAGGATGGTAATTTCCTGTTTTCGATATTTCCTATCTAAGATAAATTGTACGCATCTTTCGATAGCGTAAATTTCTGCCTGAAGCATACTGGGGTAGGTGCTCATTGGTTCGGAGTATTTAGTTTTCGGCCCAAATATACTCCTATCCCTGTCCCTGTTTTGGTTTTGGAAGCATCAGTATACGAGGTTATGGTATGGTCTTTTATATGCTGAGTAAGGCGTTTCTTTCTTCCAATCCTTTTTATTTCTCAATACTACAGTCAGGTGTTTCTCAAAGTTGTAAATTCTTGGTATGTCATCCACTGGGAGTTGGAGGACTGGACTTTTCTTTTTGAGGGTGTTCAAAGCCCCTGACCTGAAGGCGAGCCAATAGTTGGACAGTTAAAAATTTGCATGGAATTTCCTATGGTTCCAACCAAGATACACCGCCCAGTATAGGCAATATACAGAACTGTTCTACGTATTTCTGAAACTTACTTTTAATATTTTGTCTAAAAATTCTTTGCTTTGAAATATTCTGTCTAATTATAAACAGTAATTGATTATTCTACATAATTCTCATGTAGCTAATTTTTCCACTAAAGGAGGCGGTATACTAAATGGCGTAATGCTCACGAAATATCTTTTGTTAGAAAATAAATTTGGTTCTTATCTGGCACAAATTCGTCCCGATTGAAAAAGATATCCGCCAAATAAATTAAGTTAAAGCACGAAACTTCCAAAGTACAGTTGGCTTTTAATGTTTTATTATCTTTTTATCAATTGCGAAGTAAGTACATAGTGTGCTTCCTTCACATTTTTAGTGCAATTTTCTAGAAGATAGATGATACTGCAAGAAATGTTTTTTACCCATAGATAAAAAGGTGTTCTACCATATTTTGTTACAAGTAATAGGTAGTTATAGGTATAACCTTTATTTCTTAATGGCTCTTAAGCAGTATCTCATCCATGCTGTATTTCTAGTGTTAAGTTAAAGTATACACCATTACACTTAAAATTCAGTAAATCAATAGAAGGAAGAATATATAAAGGGTGGTTCAATCCTGGTGCTATACAGGGTGGTCGAAATTGATCTGTTTTAACAGAGAAAACCTATTTCCTGAGTACATAGAGCAAAACCGACTTAAATGTCATGGGCTCGATTTCTGAGACACGTTTAATGTCATAAACCGCCAGTTAATATTTTCACTACCAACTGAGATACGGGGTCTTTTTTATTTTTTTACCGTTTTGAAAATTGCCCATTATTTTTTTATTTCGCGGAATAATAAAATTCTCTAAAGACGTTCTTAAGGCACTTTTTTAAGCACAATCCAGTGGCGTAGTCAGTTTTTTCTATATTTGTTTTTTTTGTCAGAAATAATAAAAAATATAATTATTTAAATAGAAATCATAGTTGGGGCTATGAACTTAAAAAATGCTGATGTTTAACCCTTTCCAACGATACAAAGTTACGGAAGAAATGAGAGAAATATTAGGGTTTTTTATCTTTATATCGAAGCAGGCCTTGATTTTGTGTTGACCTAGTTGTCTAATTATTTTCTATCGCAATTTAACATTATATATTATTATTTATCTGCAAAATTAAAGACTTTTGAAAAGATAAATCAACATTCTATATTAGTTTTAACAACTACAACGCCATTAAATGGAGAATTTAGAGAGAATCGGATTGGAACAAGGGGCCCCATATCTTGGCCTGCTAGGTCCTGCGATTTAACTTCTTTCGGATTTTTTATGGGGGAAATTTAAAGACCTTATATATAAGGGAAGAACCATTGGGACGAGAGAAGAATTGCAGAAGGCTACTAGGCAAGCTTTTGGACTTATTACACCAGTTCGCCTAATAAATCGCTGTAACTCTGTGCGAAAAAAATGTGGTGCTCAGTTTGAACATCTTAGATGATTTTTTTAGAAAACTATATTCGTCCCTCAAAAAAATACTTTTTTTTCTCTCTGTTCTTTGTTTATTGTATCGATTTCAATTGTAATTACTAAAACTAATATAGAATGTTAATTTACCTTTCCAAAAGTCTTTAATTATGCAGATAAATAATAATATAGAATATTAAATTGCGATAAAAAATAATTAGACAACTAGGTCAACACAAAATCAAGGCACACTTCGATACAAAGATGAAAAACCTAATATTTCTCTCATTCTTAGAAATAAGTACCCATAACTTTATATCGTTCGAAATGGTTAAACGCCAGCATTTTTTAAGTTCATAGCCAACTATGATTTCCATTTAAAAAAAATATATTTTTATTATTTCTGACAAAAAGAGCAAGCATAGAAAAAAACTCTCTACGCTACTGGATTGTGCTTAAAAAAGTGCCTTAAGAACGTCTTTACAGAATTTTATTATTCCGCAAAATAAAAAAGTTATGGGCAATTTTCAAAATGGTCAAAAATTCAAAAAGACCCTGTATCTCAGTTGGCAGTGAAAATATCAACAGGTGGTTTATACCATTAAATGTGTCTCAGAAATCGAGCCCATGATATCTATGTCGGTTTTGCTCTATCTAGCCAGGAAATAGGTTTTCTCTGTTAAAACAGACCAATTCCGACCACCCTGTACAATACATATAAAGGAATCGAGTTCGAAAAGTCTGTACAGGGTGGCTCGAATTCGACGCCCATCATTGGGATTTCGGAAACCGTAAGAGATACAGGATCGGTTAAATGGAGGCAAAGTTGCGCAATTTGATGCTCAATAAATTGCCGTATTGCATTTTGAAAAAATCCGAATATATTCGAAAAAAAAAACGGAATTTTCAATTTTGTCTTCTATTATTTCCTGGCTTTATTTGTTAAGATAACTTAAAATGAAAAACCCATTTTCATGGCCACTTTTTCTGCTCTATAACTCTGTGTGATTAAATATTGACTCTGACGTTTCGGCTTTTGGCGACCATCATCAACTTATTTTTTTCAAATACGGACCTGATTTTTTTTTTCAATTTAATTAAATCTTTTCATCGCTCTTAAAACACTATATATAGCCACTTTGATGTTTGCCGACGTTTCGTACAGGAAATTCCATCATCAGAATATTTTATGCAAA